CCTCAGATATACCCTAGGTATATCCCAGGTATACCCCAGGTATACCCTATGTATATCCCAGGTATATTCCAGGTATACCCCAGGTATAACCCAGGTATACCCCAGGTATACTCTAGGTATACCCCAGGTATAACCCAGGTATACCCCAGGTATACCCCAGGTATATCCCATGTATACCCTAGGTATACCCCAGGTATACCCCAGGTATACCCCAGGTATATCCTAGGTATGCCCCAAGTATACCCCAGGTATACCCCAGGTATACCCTAGGTATACCCCAGGCATATCCCAGGTATACCCTAGGTATGCCCCAGGTATACCCCAGGTATACCCTAGGCATGCCCCAGGTATACCCCAGGTATGCCCCAGGTATAACCCAGGTATGCCCCAGATATACCCCAGGTATAACCCTGGTATAACCCAGGTATACCCCAGGTATACCCCAGGTATAACCCTGGTATACCCCAGGTATACCCCAGATATAACCCTGGTATACCCAAGGTATACCCCAGGTATACCCCAGGTATACCCAAGGTATAACCCTGGTATACCCCAAGTATAACCCAGGTATACCCCAGGTATAACCCAGGTATACCCCAGGTATAGCCCTGGTATACCCCAGGTATACCCCTGGTATACCCCAGGTATACCCCAGGTATAGCCCTGGTATACCCCAGGTAAGATTTCGTTCGGATTTTTAACCCCGGAGGGTTAGCCACCCAGGATAACCCAAGAAAGTCAGTGCGTCATCGAGGACTGTCTAACTTATTTCCATTGGGGTCCTCAATCTTGTCCCCCAGGATGCGACCCACACCAGTCGACTAACACCCAGGTACCTATTTGCTGCTAGGTGAACAGGACAATAGGTGTAAGGAAACGTGTCGAGTGTTTCCACCCGCCGGGAATCGAACCCGGGCCCTCCGTGTGTGAAGCGGGAGCTTTAGCCACCAGGCCACCGGGCCACTTTGGTATACCCCAGGTATAACCCTGGTATACCCCAGGTATACCCCTGGTATACCCCAGGTATACCCCAGGTATAACCCTGGTATACCCCAGGTAGGTAGAACAAACTTATCTTCCTTCATGTGGAAGGATAAGTGGAGATAGAACAGATGGATAGTGAATTCTAAGTCAATATGATAGTTGGTGGTGGATAGATAACTGATGTGTGGATAGATAGTCTGGCGGTGGTGAGTGTGGGTAGGATAGTCTGGCACATGTGGCAACACTGTCACCACTACAGAATGTGCCACTCTGGTGACGTCACTCTAGAGTGACGTCACCAGAGTGATGTCACTAGTGACGTCACTAGAGAGTGACATCACCAGAGTGACGTCACTAGAGAAAAGACGTTACGTGAGGGACACATTCCGTAGTGATGGTAACAGTGTTGCCACATGTATCAGTCAATCCTACCCACTCTCTCTAGTGACGTCATTCTCTTTGGTGATGTTACTTTCTGTAGTGACATCACTTTCTCTGGTGACGTCACTCATTTTCTCTGGTGAATTCACACTCACTCTGGTGACGTCACTCTCACTTTCTCTCTCACAACACACACACACACACACACACATCACGAACACACACACGGGATCACACCACTCCACACACACACACACACACACACACAACACACACACAACACACACACACACACAACCACACACACACACACACACACACACACACACACACACACACACACACACACACACACACACAGACACACACACACACACACAACACACAAACACACACACAACACACACACACACACACACAACACACACAACACACACACACACACACACACACACAACACACACACACACACACACACACACACACACACACACACACACACACACACACACTAGACACACACACAGACACACACAGACACACACAGACACACACACACACACACACACACAAACAGATGGGACACAGCAACAAGGGGACACAGTTGGAAGTTAAAGACAGAGATGAATCACAGGGATGTTAGGAATTATTTCTTCAGTCACAGAGTAGTCAGGAAGTGGAATAGTTTGGGAAGCGATGTAGTGGAAGCAGGATCCATACATAGCTTTAAGCAGAGGTATGATAAAGCTCATGGAGCAGGAAGAGTGACCTAGTAGCGACCAGTGATGAGGCGGGGCCAGGAGCTATGACTCGATCCCTGCAACCAAAACTAGGTTAGCACACACATACACACACACACAGATAACATTAAACTACAGACGAGTGTCATTAACATGTATTGTATGTAAAGTCACGGAGAAGATCAGAAGAGTGGTGGTGCTAATACACAACAACCAGCACGGATTCATTGACGGAAAATCCTGTGTCACAGACCTACTGGAGTTTTATGACAAGGTGACAGAAGTAAGACAAGAGACAGAAGGATGGGTAGTCTGCATTCTCTCTGACTGTGTTAGAAGAATTTCGACACAGTACCACGCAAGAGACTGGTACAAAAGCTAGAACAGCAGGCAGGAATTACAGGAAAAGCGATGTAATGGATAAGGGAATACTTGACAGGAAGGAAACAAGTGATGGTACGTGATGAGGTGTTGGAGTGGGTGCATGTGTCGAGTGGTGGCCCACAAGGGTCATTCCTAGGGCCGGTGCTGTTTCTAGTGTGTGTATGACATGACAGAAGGGATAATATCAAAGGTGCCCCTGTTTGCAGGTGATGAAGATCATGAAAGACTACAAGGTGATCTGTACAGGACGCAGTTCTGGTCGGACAAATGGCTTCTGGAGTTTAACTCCACCAAGTACAAAGTTAGTAAGCTTAGAATGACAAAGAGAACGACAGACGGAGTACAGGATCGGAGGTCAAAGACTGCAAATCTCACTTGTGGTGGGTATCATAACGAACATATCCCATGAGATACACATCAGCCAGATAAATGCTGCATCGTGTGCATGTCTGGGAAACCAGAGACTAGCTTTTATACATCTGAGGAGGCATTCACGACACTCTACGCCGTGCACGTCAGGTCCATATTGGAGTACGCAGCACCAGTATGGAACCCACAACTAAACAAGAATTGAAGGTGTTCCTGAATGTCATCCATGGTCTCAGCTCAGCATCTTGGAGACTTTACACAAAATGAAGATCATTTAGTAACCTTCCTTCAGTTCGGCGTTACTAACTGTCATTAGCCTCTTTTTCGAAGATAGACAAACCTAGCACTTTCTTTGTCCAAAGCTTTAACAAAGTTTTTAATGAGGCGTAACTTGATGTGTAAAGGCAGGAGAAGTATGTTCTGGGAAGCAACTAATGACTTGTGTTGAACATTCTTCACGCCTGCCTCATACTATACTCCAGATGGCCACGTACGTTGCATACAGTGCTGCTTTCTATCACCACTGTCCCACAGGCACCACAAACAACAGTAACTTCTTACTCCACCTTGCAAGCACAATGAGAAATCTATTACTTTAGATTACCACATATTTTCCACCCAAACTTTTCATATTCGATCAGAGGGACAAGTTTTTGTATTGTTTCATGAGTTTCTTTCAAGTCTGGAGCGAGAACTGAAGGCAACTTGGTAGGTGTTGCCACTCTGAAGTAACACTGTCTTCACACTTGTTTTTCTGGAGTCAGTAAACAAACACCACGTCATAACATCATGATATTTACCCAGAACATTGTAAACAATATTAACGTCACCACAGTAACATACTGATTCTTTTAATTTAAGCTAAGTTTCTAGGTTTTCTTGAGCAAACAGATTCTTGTGTCTGAGTGCAGACAGTTCCACTGGTACAATGTTTAACCAACTATCTCTTAATGTTCCTTGGACAAATTAAGACTACGCAGAAGATGGTTAAGCGCTCCATCGCCGGTCAAAACTCCGGCTGAGTCGGGACTGCTGTTGCTGATGGCTCAGTGCCCGCTAATGGCCCTTATTTCGTCCCAAATTAATGTCACACTGAGTCACTAGATGTGGTTCCTGGTTGTTGATTCCAGCTGGTTCAAACTCTGAGTCAATGGCTTCATCTAAGGGGAATATATCAACAGGATGGAGGCAGTGGAAGAGGGAGATCCATTGAATGATCCACTGGTCTGACTGGACGTTATTTTTTAACTTGTATTTTGATGAATATCCCGATATTTTTGAGATATATAATAATCA